TACTATTCTTGAAAATTCTGCCCTTTAGCTTGTGCACTTTGCTGTTGTTTGACTTAACCACCCCATTACCCAGCTGTAACTGAAGCAGGACTGCAGTTACCATTGTGTATTCCTCTCTGGCACCATCTAGTGACTCCAGAACTAGGCTTTCAACTGCTACTCTTTTCCCATTTCTAAGCAAGATGTACTTTCCTTTGGCAATAACTTAAAATTCGGATCAGTGCAGATGTCGCTCTCATGAAATAAACTCACCTTCAAGCAATGGCTGCAAAGCCTTTTGGGAGAAAGCTTTGTAGTATGGCTCTTGTACTAACAGTTTAGATTCGTAATTCAAGGTGCAAAACTGCCAAAGCACATAAAAAATAATGTGAAGATCTTGGTTATAGATATTTTGTTACAGTAAGAGTCAGGAATGGGTATGTGTGTGTGTCTGTTTTAAGACTGTCATACTCTTGAGCATCTTTTCTAGTCCTAATAAAATGGCTGAGAATGAAATGAGCGTACTTAAATTATGGAATGATTCAGGGCATCATGTTGTTAATAATGTAGAGAAATGAGATATAAAAGCTTTTACTCAAGCATACCCTAAAGCGAATTTAAGTAGAGCACACAGCTATGATGCTGATTGTTTTTACAGGTGTTGGCACCATATGAATTAAATGAAGAAAAAAATGGTGAAACATTTATGACTCATTAGAATTATGTGGTTTTCTGTCCTGTCCTAACAACTGAAAAAAGGTGTAATTTACATTTGCAGCCAAATGGCGTGAAGTAACATTATACTTTACCGACATGAAAAGAGGAGACTTCCAGATGACTACTATTCTGAACTTCTCTAGTTCTCAAATGCTGGATTTTCAGTTTCTCATGTGGACTTTTGAGAGCTAACATTATTTCTCCATTAAAAAAAAAAAGTCAAAAAGGAATATGGTAACTTTAGAACCTATAGAACATGTGGTTTCAAGGAACCAAGGGCCATTCACTAGGTGCAACACCTTTACAATCAGAATGGTTTTCCTTTTCATCAAAGAATACACTTGATAGATCTGAAGAGAGCCACATCCATGTATTTTTTTAAATAAGCTCTGCACCCTCCTTTTCCTCTTTCCTTTATTTTTTTCTATTAGAATTGTTCTGTTGTAGATCCTAAATATTTACATGAAGGAGGTATTTTGACAGGCTGATCTATAACAGGAAAGCAACAAATAAACAAATTCATGTCTACAGTATTTTAGATCCTGGTTTCCTGAGCTGCTAAGTGTTTATTTTTCCTATTGTAAAAACCTTCGTTGAAATACATTCAAAATGGAGTTCACATGGCAGCTTTCAGGCAATATCTAATGTTCTAACATAGCTGTAATACAAACTTCAGCTTCCCATACACTGTGTAGTTGGCTGAAAAAGAAAGCAGCTGATTTATCGGAGCCTCCGTGCTGTAGATGAGTCTTCAGAAAAAGAACATGTTGTGCTTTGCAATTGAGACTTTTTTGCAAACACCTAATAAACCAGAAAAGGAAAGTTTTACTGGGCTTTGTGAGCACATTTTTCTCTTCTCACTGGAGCACCAAACCTAGTTTGTAATCCTACTTTCATTTATTTCATTCTCCCCTGAAATTTCTCATAGCACAAACTCGCTCAATTCTGGCTGGCTAATTTGCATCTCATGGCCTGCAGTATCTCTTTAGGAGGTGAACTATTAAAAATACATTAGCCTGGTGTGGATAGTAATGGGCCAAATGCTGCTGGTTTTGAAGGCAATCTGGGAAGCCTCATGCTCTTTCTGACTCTTGATAGCTATGCAAGCAAGTTGTTTGCTTTTTCTGTCCTTGGACTTTAAAAGTTCTAGCAGCAGATGTAGGTAAGATTATTGTTCTTCTGAAAGTCTGGGAAGTTCCTTTCCAAGCTTGCTCTAATCTTTAATGTTACCCTTATTTCTGTTCTGCCAGAACTGTGTCCTATCAGCATCCAAAAATGTTACACATAACTTTGGCTTGCTTACAGAAGATGATCCAACCACTAACATTTGCCTTCTGTAGCTGAGCGCTGAAAGAAAAAAATAATCCACATTTGAAATGTGAGACTTCACTGCTGTCAGTTTCTGGAGTTGATTATTAGGACTGTGATTTTTATCTACTCACTTGTACAGTAATTAAAAGCAATTCCCTCATCAGTTATCATCCTGCGAAGCCAGCTTTTAGGCAGTGCTTGATGTACAGTTTATTAACCTAAGCCCACATTGAAGGAAAGGTGACATAGTTTAAAAAGTAAGAATGAACACATCTGCTCTGAAACAAAGAGCTGAATGTAAAATAGATACTTACTGTTAAACCAGCAAAAATGGCAATGTGATTTTAATTGGCAAAATAGGAGTAATTACTTGGCTTGGGCCAGGTGTACACCTCCATTCTGTCCACTCCCATCTGTGTCCTTTTTTACGTGGATTATTTTCTATGTGGATATATCCTGTCATGATGGAGTAGGTGGTTAAATAATTAAGAAGGAAATCAGGGAATCAATAACAGTTGCATGCTGAAGAGGAAGAGCTATTCAGCTGCCTGACAACCTTTGCCACGCCTTCTAGCAGGTATTGATGGGTACAAATGCGTATCAAGATATTTGATGTTAACTGGATACTGTGCCTCTAGCTGCCAACATTGTAACTGAGGACATCTTTATTGCAGGAAAGAAATGTAAAATAATAGGCAAGAATAAGCATGATGTTTACCTGTGATAACTTTTCTGGATGGGTGCTGGAGACAAAATATGAGGCTGAATGAAGGCAAACTGAGAGTGAACTCAACAGTGGATCTATGGCATTGGACTTCTCTTAACTGTTGAAAGTGATATGGAATCTTGTGAGAATACTCAAATATTAGAAAGAAAAACCATTGACAGAAGAAAATTGAAAGTGTAACACAAGTCCCTAAAGCATATGTGCACCTAAAGCACCAGCATGGAGGTGTCTGAGAAAGGTATGTAGAAACAGCTCTGATGTAAAGAGGCAGACTGCACTGTTTACTGATGAAGTTGTGGTTTATGCAGGAAGGGGAAACAAAGAGGTGAAAATCTACTACTGATTCCGCTTTTTAAATGCATTCATTCAAGGCAGTCTGACAACAGCATGGTGCGTGACAGACAGGAAAGCAATGTGCAACCCATGGTCAGCCAGAGAGAAAGCAGTAAGTGCCACAGAATGTTGTGCCCACCCCCAGGAAGTGAATGAAGAACTGCATGGATTTTGTTTTAAATGGAGCTGAACAGTAATCCCAGGAGATTTAAGAGCTGAGATCATGCAGTGGATACATATTTCACACCTGGAGATAGAGACATGCCTGAGATGAGCCAGGAAATGTATCTACAGGCCAGGCATGAATACCCAGTTGAAAGCATATATGGAACAGTGCAAGCTGTACAAAGAATATAGTGATTGACAAGAAACGCCTCATGGAATTCCAACCCAGCCCTAGGAAAAGGTCAGAACAGACTTGTCAATTCCTAATGAAAGAAACTTAATGGCACAGTGGATTAATATCCCAGTTTTTGGAAGACGCACAGGCAAGAACAGTGATCAGAAAACTGAAGGTACAGGTTTTGAAATGTGTGATAACTCATTCACTGGCTCCTGATACTCTTCATTTAAGCATTTGAAAAATTTGCTAACTTTAAAAACTTCTGCATAAGATTTATGTTTCTGAAAATACAGAACACAATAGGAAGATGCCTTCAGCCTTGACAGCAGCCAGGAAACTGATGGCAGTGTTAGGTGGATAGGAAGGGTGTTTGGCCTGGTTATTTTGAACCTCTTAAATGCTAAATGTTCCCATGGTTTAAATAGATACTTCTAAGGAAACTAAGCAAGTGCAAAGGACCAAAACCCCAGAGATTACTCTATGCAGGAAGGTATGTATGAAATTAGTCATTATTATGAAAAGTAACAACAAAAAAATTGTTACTGGATACAGGATGTGAAATGAGAAGAATAAACAAGAAAAATGAAACTCAAGACACCTTACTGTGACTCGAATCAAAGATAGCACCAGGAATCATAGTCTGTTAGGCTAATGTAACCAAGACAAAAAGTATGTGAAGTGTGTGATCAACACAGAGGATCAATATGGCTGATTCTTTTGAGTGCCCTCAATAGTAATAGAAAACAGGGAAAATGAACAGTACAGAGAGAACTTGGTGGCTTCATCATTGTCATTTGGTGGTGTTTTAGCTACTGCAGATTAGCCTGCCTGGCATCCGTTTGCTACCCTGGTGGAGTGTCAGTCGACTTTAGGTCCTGCGTCATCTCTGCTATTCCTGTGCAGATGTCCTGGATGCCTGACGAGCTCTCAAATGGCACCAGGCACCTGTGTGTCGGGCAGGAATCCTGGCCTTTGCTTTATGAAGCAACACGTTCTTGAAGGGCTACAACAGTGTGGTAATGGCCACAGCCAAGTATAGCAGCAGTGAGCGAGTTGGACAAATCTTTAAACAGGTAAGCCTGTGCACTAATTATGTTCTGCTTGGGTCTTCTAAGGCTGGCTGTGGGCTGAGCCCTACAGCTTCCTGCCTTGGCCGAGAATGGATCACCTGTGGGGAGCTGTGTTTCCCAGAGCAGATGGGAGCTGTCGGGTTCATAGTCAGAAATGATGAAAAGGGATACAACATGTAACAGCTCCCTTTGGGCAGGAGAGATCGGGGAGGGGGATAGGTGGGTCTCTCCAGCCAAAGAGAAGATATCACAGATAAAGATGCTTAAGGAAGATGCTTTAACAGGCAGTCAGGTGTCTATGTAAAACACACAGAGGAGAAAGCAATTAAAAGACCTCTAGTTGATTAAAAAAAAAAAAAGTTGAAGAAAATGCAGTTAGTCTGAGAATAAACTTAATCACCAAGGTGCCCTTGAAGTTTATCAGACCACCAAGAGGTGCAATATCCTAGACAGGCAATGAGTTCTCAGAAATACCCTTCATCTAATCTTTTTTTTATTATTTTTCTCTACCCTAGGACGATTGACGTGTTTTGGTTTGGTTTGGTTGAAAGGCTGAACTAGCTTGCCAGAGGGAATTCAGAGGAAACCAGAACATTTTCCCAAAGAGAGGGTAAAGCCCAGCCACACCTTACAACATCAAATCTTTAGTCGTGTACCTGCCTGTATAGCACCAGCAATATTCAGTGTTTCTGTAACATCATTCATACAAGAATTTCAAAGCACTTCATAAGCACTAATTAATCAAACCTCACAAACACACAGCAAGCAGCAACTTTGCCCACCAATGAAGTGTAATCACTTCTAAAATGGAACATGATGGAAGTTTGATATCTCATAACATGATGCAACAGGTCAAGGCAAGTAGAACAGGAGCAACTGAGGGCACTTGGGAAGTACCCATCCTTAAACAGCTTTGCAGATACAGTGCTTCACTGGATATGCTTTGTGGAAATAGTTGGTAAAAATATTTTTGTGAAAAAGCAGTTTTTGTATTGCACACAAAAGAACATCCATCTCTCTAGCCAGTGGCACCTGCAGTCCTAGAGATCGTGAAATAAACCACTCTGATGTGGTTCTTGACCTTCAGGTGCTGCCACCTGAGATTCCTCAGGGAGAGAAGGAAGCGGTGTCAGAGCCTGCAGGGTTCTTCACCCGGACGGCGGTTGGGTACTGGAACAGGCTCCCCAGGGAAGTGGTCACAGCACCAAACCTGCCAGAGCTGGATGGTACTTTCAGGCACATGGTGTGATCTTGGGGAGTTCTGTGCAGGACTAAGGGTTGAACTTGATGATCCTTATGGGTCCATTCCAACTCAGCATATTCTGTGATTCCTCTACATTTTAAGGGACCACCTGGCACCTTTAGTACCTTACCCCTCCTCAATGGGTCTCTCAAAGCTGTGATCCCCAGCTATAAACCTCGCTCCAGTGCAGAAGCCACAGGGCCTAAATTAGTGCCTTCTCTTGGCCCAGTCAAAGCTGTCAACGTTCCAGTTGACTACAGTGAGAGAAAGATTGGGCTGGCTCAGTTTCTTTATATCTCTTTATATTTCTGCCAATCCGATCTTGAAGGGCGGACTAATTCAGATGTATATATGCTGCTAATACTCCGAACATGTGTCTTCCCAATTAAGCATATGTTGAACAACCTTCAGCTTTTCCTGTCTGTAGGCAAAACATCTCTGTGCTTTAGGTCTCCTGTCCCATCACTTCTCATCTCTTTTGGAAGCAAATGGGACAGAGACTTTTCTTTTTTTTTTTTTTTGACATCATGCAATAACATTATGTCGTACTTGTGTAAAACAATGTGCAAACCATTAAGTAGAATAATGAAATGCTGGAAGTTAAAACAATAAGCTTGGATGATTTAAACCTTGCTACATTTTAAATGTGCAATATGTTTGCAAGAATGAAATTGGTCTTTGGGGCTGAATAAATAGTACAGATATCCAGCCCATTTTGGAAAGAACAAGTAATACCTAGGAACATAATTTAAACCAGTCTTGTAATTAGCTGGTCATTTCACATTACGAGAGTTCTGGTCTTGTAGTTTGGCTTTATAAATGACCCATATAGTCATCTTGTAATTATACATGATACGTTTAAAAAAACCCAACAAACCCCACCAAACTGTTTGGATGAGAATTTTTCCTTTGGCGGAAGAGTGAAGAGTAAATTATTTAGATGGATTATGTAGTACACTCCCCATTAATATGCCATTGCAAACTTATTTGAAAACCCAAGATCTGGAGGCTGCTTTAACCATACCTTCAGGTTATCATAATTTTTCCTGACTTCACTTCCTGATCATGAAGTAACAAAGTATTTTTAGTCAAAACTCATCTCTCTGTACTTCCACTGTACTTCTACTAAATAATGAATATTACTGTGAATGCAAAAATATGGCTTTGTTCCTGATTATGGTATAAACTGGAGAAGCAGAAGGTCTATTACAGAAGTTCAGTCAAACTTTTGCAGGACTGAATTGAGAACCTAGCAGGACTTTACATTTCCTTGGAAATTGTCTTCTGTCTGCAGCACACAGCATGAAAAGTTTCTGTCTTTCACACAGGGTCAGCTATGTACCATGCCAGTACTGAGATGGAAATCAGAACTGTCTTAAGGCTGTTATCAGTTACCATCATCTTCTTAACACCCTTCAGAAATCATTTTGGTTCCCTGGAATCAGGGAGAGTTTTTCCTAGTCACATTTCCCTTATAACTTCACTTGTGGCAGGTTAGTAAGTGATAAGCTGCAGAGGAAGGCATTGTAAAGATGCCATGTGGAGTTTTTTATTTTTGTTTTTCAAATCAAGCATTCTGCCAACAGAGCATGATGGTACAGGTACTTCATTAAACTGACTTTTTGTACACTTCAGTCTTGCTGATTGCCGGAAAGCAGCTACAGCAGAAAGTTGGGAGCTGGCCCCAAATTTGACTTCTATACAATTAAGTAAGGATTCTTTAGCAGGCTGAATTATATCCTCAATATCAGCATGTCTGCAAATAAAACACCTCAGTGAAATAATTTCTAGGGAGATTCTAGATTGTGAATCATGATGCTGTGTTGTGAAATTTTGGCTGCAGTAGCTGTCATTTAAGAGACTTTCTGAATGCATACATTTCAGTCCTCTAAATAGATCCTTTTTACCAACCTAAAAATTAAGAAATTATTCTTTCTTTTATTTATGTTTTTTATTCTCTTGAGTTTACAGCTTTATTGAATGTACACTATTTATAGATTTCATGCAATAAAAAATACACTGTGTGTATCCACATACATATGCTAGAAATTAAAAGTCGGGGGGGGAGAAATGAAAAATTCATAGCCTTGGATGTTGAGAAAGTCAGACCTGCTGTATCCCCTTGAAGTCACCTAGGTGAGGTTTTTTGACATAATGGAAGCATCAATGAACTGCTCTTGATTAAAAGTTTGACAGGTTGACACTATCCCCCTGAACTGGAAGACTGGGGTTGAAAGAAAATTTTAATACAAACAGAATTTCATTAATACCACAGTTTGCTATAATGGGGGTCTTTTTTTCCCCCCACTGTTATTTTTGCTTAGATGGTGTCATTACCTTTTAAAGGGGAAAGACACTCTGGTTAAGCTTTGTCTCAGAAACAATGTCATACTAATGGAACGGGAGCTTTCAAGTGAAATATGAAACAAACTGTCTGGAATAGTTCTGATTCTCCAGGCACAAACAAAACCAGTTTTAATAGGATGGTTCCTTTAAATGCAGGCTCTATTCATTGAGCCAACCCTTTTTTGTAGAGAGAGTGCGGGAATTCATTAAACAGTATAAAATAATCAATATAAACAGAATATCAGAATGGCCTTACATCTCCCAAGATCCAAAAATGTAGCGTCACTTCACTTTATTACCTTTTGAGAGCTTTTTTTCTCTAATGTGGTAACTGTTAGAGTCTATCTACTCTGCTCAGTGTTAGGGCTGTCATGATGAAAGTGCATAAACAATATAAATAATAGTTTTTGGCACATGAAAGGAGCTCTGAGTGGATTGTTCTTTTGGAATCTAACTGTCAGGATTTTTGTCTGACTTTCAGGGATTTTTTATTATTATTTTTTATGTTTAATCCAAAAATTCTTATAATCTTAAATTGATTATTTGAAAAAGCATCATTCTTTTAACATTTACATTGCAATTTAATATTTATAGCTTGATGCCAGGCAATTCTTATACAATTTAGTAAATATTTATTAAATCAGACATGTTCTTAAAGACTTATAGTTTTGTAACCACTCTCTATTGCTAATACTCTTTGAAGCGGAATGTCAGCCTGCAAAAGTCAGTTTCTATATTGCCTCTCCAGTCCTTGTCTGCAGTGATCCTCCTTGACTTCTTTTCACTGCTGAATAGTTAAATAGTTTAAGTTCTTTCAGATCCTTGATATTATCAGGTTATATAACCTCCCACTCCATTCCCATTCATCATCTCTGCAATGTAATATTTTCACATGGATTTTTGACTTCGTATTTGAGATTTGCACAGGTCTTTAAAGCTTTGATTGAACTCACAGCATCTCTTCTCGTGATGCATTTTTAATTTCTCATTTACAGGCAAGTAAATTGAGTTACTGTGAGTTTACAGTCAATATTTTAATGATACCATTTAATTGTAAGTGTTGAGTTTTTAGATGCAGAGCTTGAGGCATATTTAACATGTTGATTGCAGACTCAAACTCTTTTTTGAAGATAAGTGTTGAAGTACTGACTCACAGTGGAAAGCAGACAGTGTACATCTTCTCAGTTTGGAAACCTAAAACTAAGCCATCTAGATCAATGAGTTTGATGAAATGCTATAAACAGCTTATCCAGTCACCAACAGTCAGTAATAGAACTTGGGCATCTGCTTCACATTTTCCTGTTCTCCAACCATGCCATTCCTCTCTCCTTAAAGCATCAGTGACAGATTAAGTAAAGATGGACATGTGAGGAGTATGGGGAAGAGAATGTTGAAAACAAAGCAATTCAGAGCATTTTATCCTTTGTAGCCAAGTCAATGGCAGGTGTTCTATGTCCTATTACAGCCTTGATAGTGTGTTATGTTGCATCATTTCAGCATACTTTCTCTCAGACTGGATGACTAAATGTCAGTTCAGATAGCAGTTGTCCAATCCAAATGATCCACACTTGGATGGCAGCAGGTGAACAGAAGACTGTCCAGTTCAGGAGCCTACTCTATCACTCCATTCATGGAAGGCTACAGATAGTCCAGATTTTTTAGTGGAAGGAAGCAGATATAAACTAGAAAATATTTTCCTGTGATTTTACAGTTCTTTTGTGATTGATTATGGGTCTACATGTGATGGAGAAAAGAGCTCTTCAGAATAAATATGAATAGTTCTGATTCTCTGTCTTCCCATTTATTGACACAAAATGGGCAATAGACAGCGTTTTATAAGCAAAAAATGTTTCACTACATTAGGAACCATTTCTTTGCTAAAACACCCATGAAATCAGCCTCTTGACATATTCCCCAGCAAGTTAATCTGATTGTGATTGGGTCTGAGTGAAATGGAAATGAGAAAATTCCAGGAGCATGTGAGCATACAAGCAGATTTTCAACCCATTCTAAACACAGGT